TATTTTTTTTTTAAAAACAGGAATACAACGAGAACGGTAATAAGCTCAAAATGGATTAAAATTAAATATAATGAAAAATTAAATGAACATGAAACTTCATATAGATGAAAGTGAACTGGCACTTTCTCAAATTATTACAAAGAACGCTTTATTGTCAAACTAATAAATAAAGAAATGTTTTATTTCAAACAGTAATATTAAATCTCCCGCAAGTGTTCTTAATTGCGGAATAGTACTAGTGATCTTGAGTATATGGATCATACAGAATGGAATAAAAATCTTTGGTTGAAGTATAAGGTAGCAGAACTTAACACTTTTCAATGATATTTTACCTCTGTGAATAATTTTTACGGATTCCATGACTGGTTTATGCTGTAGATCTACCTTCCACCAGGTTTCAGTCTGCCCATCCGCCCTGTGTGTACAGCAGTCCGACACCACCGTTGTGGTGTTACATCCATCTACTGCCTTGACACTGTCAAAGATTTTTGGTTGCTGGTTTCGTAACTAACTTTCTCCAATATCAATATCATCGTCTGCCACACACGATATATTATGTATGCATTGCATTATACAGCAATAGTATCGAAATTTAACTATAACCTTTCTGTCCAGACTGTTCTTCTTGTCTTATACATATCCACCGAATGGTCTTTCCTGTTTGGAATTGTGTCATGAAACATCTTGTTTATATTTGTTTTTTCATTGTTAATAACGGTTATATTAAGGACATGTAAAAGTAATCACAGTGAGACCTTCAATATAAAGATAATGACAAAAATAAAATGTCTTTTTATATTTCGAATGCGAAACTTTTCTACAACGTACATACAAATAGCCGACATTTCATTATCTACGACCTCCGTTATTCAATTTACAGGGAGATTGTTTTGAGATTGTGTATATCAAGTTAATATGTAATTGTCATAGAAATAAAATTTACAAACTAAATTGACAGAGTTGGTTCCCTCTGTATAGGTTAATCACATGCGAATCATGTCATATGGGATGTTGGAATACATGAAGCTGCTGTTGTTCCCTTAAAATATTCTGACGAATATCACACATATGAGCAGAGTGTTAGCAGTAAATATTTAAACTGACCAGGTACGTAATAAATAATATTTCCATAGCTACATCTGATAAAGTATTGCAGACGTACTCCATATGTGTTATAGTACAGATCAATGACAAGCAATTAGTGTTGTAGAAGACGTTCACTCTCCATGTACATCTGGATTTATTCTGGTTTTGTGTTTCCTAACATGCTGTTCAGCATTATATGCTTCTTGCGATACACTCATGAGATACTCTGCTTGGTTTTGAAATATGATACAGTAACAAAGCAAAACATTTTGTTGAAAAAGAACATTTATTCTTTCAGATGTCAATTTTAAAAACTACGGATAACTACGAACAGACATATGATTGTTTCTTAACATGAAAAATGTGTTTTTGCCTCTGATGACATTTTTATTTGATACAAAATTGTAACATGATCATTAGAAGTTTCGATTAGGCCTCAATCAAATGGTAGGTCTCGATTAACACTATCGTTTAACACAGACTTACGTTTAACAAAGATTTACATTTACAAAGCAACGCTTTGGATTTTTTTTATTGAAGAGCTACCTTAAAATGATCAACCACTTCCCCTTAGAAATCATGTGTCTGCTCACTTTTTGCAAATTTTACTGAATGTAATTTGTTTTCCTCGAAGCAGTAGTCATAAGTATTTTATTTTGGCTGTGGATAACGTTCGAAATATCAAGATCAAGTTGAATGTTTCGTATCCATTCAGAATTGCTCTTATAATTATTGTAACTGTCTTAATGGCTTGTCATCACATAAAAGGTCGTTAGGGTCATCAACCGGTGAAACACATCGCAATCCAATAGGGAATAAATACGTCAAACAAACTAAAAGGTAAAAGGCAAATGCGAAAAGACACTAAAGATTAAAATGGTAAGTCATAGTTTGTAATATGGACCAACATCTTTCAGATAACCTGGAATTCTATCAATCTCAGCCGCTTTGAAAAGGATCTTAAGACTTGTTACATTAAGATAAAAAAAAAAATTGTGAGTAGATAGACGGTCATTCCAGTCCAATAAAAATATTTAACGGTGGATGGCTCATCACATCCTATGCACCGAGGATTATCTTTCAACATATATTAATGTGTAAGGTATGTATGGCCCATCCGAAGAAGAGCATGAACAACTTCGTCTCGGTGGTTGTCTCTATAGAATAAAAGCAATTTACCGATGATAGGTTTTCATGCGATTTATTATTGGTATATTGATTCCATGCTCCTGCCACTGAGCTGTTAAAATTGTTTGACACATGGTTTAAAATTAGTAAAATGGAGTTTAAAAACAACAGGTGGTAGCGATAAAGCTTCCTTTGCGGCACGATCTGCTTTTTCATTGCCTGGTATTCACACGTGCCCCGGAATTCAGCAAAAGCAATACGAAAGTTCATTATTAGTATTTATGTATAACGCATGAAAATAATTTCGATATTTCTGAACTTCTTTATTATCTTAACAAAAAATTAAAACTTTCCGATCAGAAGGTTTTCATTTTTTAGATAATAGAGCAGTACTAGCATGTTGATCAGCTAAATTTATAATTTGATCAGGCCAACTAAAACAATTGGAATCTTGGACTTTGTTGTCAGTAAATATCGGCGATATTGCTCTTGGTTGGTGCGATAAAATCATATACTGACACCATCAAAATTCTATAATTGTATAGTATGCAACAACTACATCTGAACGACAAGATGAACAAAATAGGACATGAGTCCTTCTCGGTATGAAAAAAAAATCAATTTAGTTTTGTAATCATACTACTTTATGTGACTGTTGTTTATGGCGACACAATAAACAATATGCCGCAGCTGTTTTTAGATAAGAACTTGCTGCAGTCAGTATTTGATTAAACCTTCCAGGTTTCCATAATTGTACATAATATCGAGTGATATGCTACTTATCTACAATTAAAATGACATCAAAATATTAAAACTAAATATTTATCATCAGTTTCAATGTTTCAGTTTGAGTTTATGTAATTATATTATTTATCATAATTATAACAGTGTCGTGGAAGATAGGCTATCACTCCTGGGACTCCTTTTCATGTCAGAATAATTGATATAACGTGATTATACTGTACATACGTAAATTACGTAGATAACATATTTGCTATCATGGTGATATCATTACTACTATAATTAGAATACGTTTGATACAGGGAGATATAATGTACAACAAGAAATGTTACCGAATTGTATATTAAAATAGAACTGATTATAAATACATACATACAAAAAATCATCTTGGTCCTGCTGGAAAATGCCTGTTCCCGTTTTAATGAGCTTTTGTAAAATACTCTTTAATCGACAGCTTTTAAATTATCAAAATAAAGTTATAACGTTAGAATGTACATCTAATAGATTAACAATGTATTTTCATCATCTTTAAATAATACATGATATGACGAGAAGGGCCCAGAATATTGCATTTTAATCAAGGCAAAGGTGTGATAACATTTTTCAATACCAATAAACATACAGTATATAGTTCTCTCTTCCTTTGTGGGCTCGTCGGTTATTCTAAAGACCTAAAAAGTTGAAACCTTGGAGGTAACGTGGAAATGTTAAAACCCAAATTAGGAGATCCATTTATCCCAAAATTCAATAAATTTCATAGTTTCATTAAAAACATAAAGCCCAAACAAAAAAGCCCAACAGCAGTGTCTACTATCAACAAAGCTCGAAGATTGTTCGTAAAAACACAAAAAGCAAATTCAACGTTTGTTTAATACAAATTTATAATGGGTATATTAAATGCAAAAGTGAATGAAACTGCAACAAACACATGCATATGTACAAATATCACGATGATAAATTCCTATTATATCAAGAAATACTATACCTTATGATTATGATATTTCAACCCTTACTGGTATATAGCACTATCGTGTTAATACAGTCCAGAATAGTCTCGAGTGAGGATAAAATCATACTTACTATGAATGTAAATTCACTAACAGTGTTTCATATATTACACATTTATTTAAAAGGTTTCACATCGATATACATCTAGCCTTTTATGTAGTTTCGTATAGATGTGGAACGTCTTTATCTCTAGGTCCCAGTTTTTCATAACTGTCATCCGGCGATATTTTCGTGGTGATTTCTTTGCTCGCCATTGCACCTATTACTTCGTATTGTCCGTCTGAAACCAAAAGCGGATGGAAGGTACATTTATTGGCTAGGAATTTCAAAACTTTCATATATATATGAGTATCAGAAGCTACTTACTCTTGCTGATCACCTGGTCTTATTCCCCTTGTACGTGTTTGGATGATGATTATGTTGACATGCTGGTATTATCGTGTTGGTTTGTTATGTATAACATGGATGAGGTTTGATAGAAATATTTTAGTTTTACCCATCTTTGTAAGTCAATTAATAGATTAAATACGCAACGGCCTGAGTACAAGTTTTTGGTAGATGAACCGATCGGAAGATATAGATGAAAGAAATGTGTCGTATCGACTTTCCCTCCATGCCACATAATGGTAATGTGCTTGTAAAAAGATTAGAAAGCAATGTTTTGTCACCTGAATTTCCTGGCAGCTCCTGTCCGATACTCGACATGGATATGTTAGCCGTAGTGGCAGATCTGGTGGTGTCCCTATTGGTCCTTGAATGAAGTCGTCTTGCCATTACGATGATCACAATGACCAGCACAATAACAACCACTCCCGATCCGACTCCTATTCCGAATGCCTCGACTTTGAAGTCATCCTCCACAACCGGTATATAAACGACTACAATGATAGACTATGCATCAACAAATGTCTAATAAATCTATTTGCACTTTTGTTGGATTTTAGAACAAATAACATTGCTTATGAATGTCATATCCTTTATACATAACATTTTTACATTATATTTGGAATCTCGAAGCAATGTTAATTCCTGTAGGTTTAGATTTTTATCGCCAAGGTACGTCTGACGTCACATTTATCATCAGTAAGTCCATTTGCAAATGGAGACAAACAAGACCCAGTGTCCTTGTCACAATTTTCATCCTGACAGTAGCCACACATGTCTAACCATGCGTGGCCAAAGAAGCCGAATTTGCATTCTTGAAAAAAATGAAAAAAGTAATAATCATAAATAAGTAGAGATTAAAACCGAAATCAGCTATTGGATATGACTTATCACTATTATGTGAACGCACTCGCCTTTCACCAATGCGTCTGGGGTTCGATTCCTGTAACGGACGTGAAGAGATTTGGGGTCACCTTCCCGACCACGTGGATATTCCCTGGGTACTCTGGATTCCCTCCCATAGTAAAATGTTCTGGACATGGTAAAAACGTTGGTTTATATATGGGAAATATGCGACATAGACATATCCATATAGAAAGATCTTACCACAAAAGCCAGCGAATATGTTGTCAGTCACTGAACTTTTTTCCACGGACATCCCTCCTAACTTCTAAGAAGGGAAATAAATCAGATGACATGTTATTACCTGTACATCGCCCATCCACCTGTTCACATATGTGATCTCTGCAGCTGTTTGGACAAATCTTGGTACAGTTTCTACCATGGAATCCGGCCTCACATTCTAGAAGAACCAATATTCCACTAGACTGATATAGCAATGTATGTTGCTACGATTTACAAGAGTTATTGAATAAGCGAAATCAAGAAAATGTTTCATAATATTGCAGTTTGAAAATAAAAGTAAATAGATAGTACAACCATTTTAATAGTCTCTCTCCGAAAACAGTACAAAATTCAGGTACAGAATTTCAACTCATATCACATATCTTCGTTCAACTATAAATTCCGTATGTTATATCAATTGAATATGCTTAGATTTGAATTAGTCTCCCTAGATAACTGGTAGTCGTACACGAAAATACATGTTATTCGTGTCTAAAAAGACCTGTGATGTGCGGTGTCATACAGACCATCAAAATCACCACACCCGTCACCAATACCATTAACTTGTAGGTAAACGTTACTACTTTTTTATGCATGTAATGTAACAATGTAATAATGTCTGCAGTCAAGGAAAACGTCATTCGATGCTTTATCTACAGGCACAAAAAAAAAAAAAAAAAAAAGAAATAAAAATCATGGACGGTGTGCAATGAAAATCAGTTTATCAGTAAAACCGTACCTGTACTTATGTGATATTTACGTTTAATTACATTGTATGGAATATGAATATTTTTGTGATGACATAACGTTGCATCGCCGTACATAATCTAATACTGACTTGATTGAAATTGGTCAATTAACCTCATTTAAGTTATGTCATAAAAATTTCCAATGACAATGAATTCTGTCATGTGCTTGAGAGGGCATCATACACATCAGCATGCAGAGATTAGAGAAAATTCAATATATGATGTCAGGATGTTAGAATAGTAATGTGATTGTTTGATATATAAGCATTTATTAATGAAACGTACGTTTTGTGACTAACTGAGACGTCGGTATTAAATCAAAATTAACGTAAGATGTGTTTTTGTTTTCTAGTAGAATCTGTCTGAATGCAAACTACCTTTATTGGATATTTGGTTTTGTTTGATTTCAAACATATTTGATTACAAGAAGTAAATTGTACGCTTGTTTCATACCTTCACAATGTCCGTTAGACTGGATGCAGGTGTTATCTTTGCATTGTAGAGGGCAGCGGGAGTTGCATGTGTTTCCAAAAAACCCTTGTTTACACCCTGAATGTACACAGAAATACACTTGTTTCAGATTGACTTGAAATTGCAAGGCTTTATATTTTTTCATACATATCAGATATCCAAGGTTTGGTAAATGTTTCGGCCGATATATTTTTATCAATGTGTGATCGATTTTCAGTTCATCGACAAGAACTTAAAAGGGAAGAACACATAAACTGGAATAATTTCTGAAATTTGGCCATGATGTTTGAAATAAACGCTTTCCATTGAAAAAAGTGAAACACCAGTACAAACGTAGCAATATTAACCTATACAAACGCCGTTTGCTTGGACACATAGGTTGTCATTACAGTTAGATGGACATGTTTGGTCACATGTACTGCCAAAGTAGCCCAAAACACATCCTGAAAATAGTACAAAAACCAGGTGCAGACAATCAACTCATATCTTCGTTCAACTGTAAGTTTCTTATTGGATATCAATTGAATATGCTTAAATTGGAATTGGTCTCCTTAGATAAATGTTAGTCTTACACGAAAAAGCATGCTATTCGTGTCAGAAGGAAATTTCTAAAATAGAAAAAAAAAGAAAACCCGTAATGTGCGCCCATTCAACATTAACTTGTAGGTTAGCGTCGCTATTATTTTTTTATGCATTTAATGTAATAATGTAATAATGTCTGTAGACAAGGGACACGTCATTGGATGCTTTATCTACATGTACATTAACAAGTCATTTGAATATAAAATGAGAAGTTCATTTCAGGATCAGCCTGATGATAGGATCACTTGTCAGAAATCAGATGTTTCCACTTGGAAGCACTAGTAGCGGGTAGGTGGTAGTGTCTATGACCGTATAAAGTTATTTATACCGTCTACGTATATCGCTGAAATGGAAGCTTTTGTTTCAATTGAGGAGGTTATTGCCTTTTGGTGATCCTCCTCTGTTAGAGTAGACAAAGAGGTGCCCTTGCCGATAACCACAAAATGTAGGGGGGATGGGGGGGGGGGGGGGGGCGGTGGGGTGAGCTGGTAATGACCTTTGCAAATTAAACAAAGAGGAATAGCCGCGGCACCGGTTTTTCGATTCACATAATTGTACAAGAGACTAATGGTCTCATAGGTCTCTGGCGACTTGCTTACTTCTCAATGTTGTAGTCCCAAAGCTAACACTGAGCTTGACTTTAAAATGTTTAAAAGTTGTTAGTGTCTCGATGACAAAAAATGTTTAACGAGGGCAGATTGATAAATGTTTGCCTCGATTAATAATAAAATCAAATAAATAGTGAACTAAAGGTATTTTGAGTACTCACGTTTAGTCTTAAGAAGTTGATTCAACAATCAAACAGGTTCGGCAACCATTCTGATTTCCAGGTATAAAAGCATTTAGAAATATATTGCGCGATTCAGGATTATTTTCATAACTATTGTTATATCTAAAGTCATATTTACATTAAAATGAGTTATCTTTTGTCAATTAAATGGAGTCCATTATATGCACGGTCAGAGTAGGATTATAATACTCTTCTATATACATGTACATATACGTAGCTTACGGATATTCCACAAATGGGAATTGTAATACACAATAAGCTGTCCATTCCCACGTGGCTGATCTACGAGGTAATCAACCACATCACTCAGTGTTCTCAACATGCATATTTCAAGGCTATACCGAGCTTGATAAGCGTGTTACGTTACAAGTGAAATCTTGACGATATTAGCAAGTAGTGATGATAAGATACATTATCATATATACCAAGAAACTATTAAAGCCCAATATACGTAAAATTCACCAAAACGTTAGTGTAGAATCACACATAATTATTGAGATATTCTCTAAGATGTAGCTAAAATTAAGTTATTCAAACAATAGTTACCATGACTTTGTGCATAAAGTATTGATATATGAGCAGTTGAAACTCGCTATTTGTAAACACACCCCCATTTTAAACACGCCGCCATCGAAATTACGATTGTTGCCGAACCACGTCGAAAGTTCATGACCTGATCTCGCGATAGTTGAGGTTTCTACTTATAGAGGAAGCACATCCAGATATGTCCACGGTAAGTTTTTGTTTACAAACATTGTTTGCGAAGACTTGAGGTATTCCTGTGATAAACATTCAGTTTTTGGGAAATTATTAGAAGGAATAATTAGTTTAGAAACGATACGACGCACAATTATAACGTAAGAATTTAGAATTGGCCCTGATGTATGATTGGAAAAAAAGGAAGCGACTGGTGAACGTCTGTACTGTGTCTGCCATGTTTACACACGCGGAATATGCGCATGCGCAATGTCATCGCTACGATCGGTAATGTATGAATTATTGTGGGTCCCACATTGTTTATTTTCCGATTTTTTCAATTTTTATTTAAATTGAAAACAGTCAGTTTTATTTTCTTTAATTAAAGGAAAGTATCTGTTTTTTTACATACATTACGGCGAAAATAAGATAAAGATTATTTTTTTTTATAGTGATTCTTACGTATATTGGGGCTTTAATTCCCTACTTTCATTCATGTAACATCGAGAGAAAGTTTAATAACAAATAGTAAAAAGTTGGAATCGGATTTAGTTGCATAACATTATATTCGATTTCAGAAGAAATCGACATATTGAGTTATGTAATGTTACATGTATTTTTTCTCTCTAATACCAATGCCGACGTTTCAATATGTAATCATCGTAAGCTGCACATACACTTTTAAATATTTGATAATCGAAGTTCGCCATTTGAATAATGGTACTGAGTTTAGAAATCGATTGGAACTATATGACGACAGTAGTTTCATAAAGAAAAAGAGGTCAATAGGTTTCACGTGCTGTACATGCGGCTCACCCAATAGTTTTAGCTTGTTGAGTGTGTTTCTCCTACAAATTACATTGTAACTTAATAACGTTTAAGATAGCTGATATGAAGATTATATTAGGTAGTAATTACAGTTTATATATTCCAATAAAGAAGGGCTTTACTATTTTTTAACAAATTAACAAAACGATTTATTTGTGTTCATGCAAAATTTAAAAACCATGCCCTTTATCAGTTATGGAGTAATTTTGTCATAGGTTTTTGATAATACATTGCTGTATTCATCTTAATATTTGACAAATGGAAAGGAACTATCTACAATCAGGGATATTCTCTACTATCTAAGCATAGACAAAACTCTCTTCTACCTTAAAGCTTGGAAAAGATCATTCCTACCTCATCTATCTGAAACTTTCAATTTCAATATTCTTATCGTCAGCTGGCAAAACATTAACACAACTTCTTGACAATACAGAGTAAACCATCTCCGTACCAATGCATAGTCCTACGTTCTGCAGACAGGTATTATTCACACAGTGCTCAGAGCAATTCATGTCTTAATGATTCTATACCTCTTACCACTGATACATTTCTTAAAGGATCTCATACACTTGATGGAAATATAAATAAATCTATCCTTGATTTGGTTCAGAGATTCATTACTGATACCGGTCGCCAGTTTTAGCCTTAGTATACTTATATATACATTTTTTTTCTATTTTTAATTTGAATCTGTTATCTTAAGTTTGGTCCGCCTGTCAATTTTTACGGACTCGGCTCAGGATTGTGGGTATATGGACTGTTTGAACCTGCAGCCTGTGTCGTGATCAGCTGACAAACTTTGACCCCATTTTGTTATATATAATTATATTACCTATCCAATCTTACTACTCTCTAATAATCTATCGTTTTCTCTAATTTCACATTTTCTTGTCTTAGTTCTATGTTATGATGTTGGAAGTAACCCGGGTCCAGACCAGAATGTAAATTTAGTTCATTTAAATGTAAGATCTCTCAGAAACAAAACAGCCCTGATAGAAACAGAACTTGAAGATAATGATATTATTTGTATAACTGAATCCCATTTAAACCCATTAATTTCCTGAACTTGATATCCAAATCCGCTCTTTTAATTCCAATCCTCATAGAAAAGATAGAACTATAGGTCGGGGTGGTGGAATTATAGTTTCCTAAAAAGGATACTGTTGTTATGAATAGGAGAAGGGATTTGGAAAGGGATGATATTGAACTGTTATGGTCTGAAGTATTAATTCATAATCACAAATTTCTACTAGGTTGTCTATACCGACCAGAAAGTAATACTGGTTACTGGACTAAATTAGATGATACACTGACCAGAGCTACAGATACTTCAATGGATGTTGTACTGACAGGTGATATAAACATTGACATGTTACATATACCTTTAAATGGCCATTTATCAAGGCTTCTTATTAAACATAACTTATCTAGTCTTATAAATGAACCCACGAGAATAGCATCTGACAGTGCAACTTCCATTGATATTATCTTCACTAATAACCAAAATAAAGTTAAAAATACTACATTTTGTAGTGACCATTCCTCAGTACATGCTTCCATTTCTTATTCCGTATTCAAAAAAGTGAACTATAAAAAAATTTCTAAGATTCTAAAATATTCTAAGATATGAAGAAGCAGACTTTGATAGCATGAATAATGCTCTTAATAATATAAATTGGTTGAACCTGCCATTAAACCAGGACTCTAACACATTCAGTAGTACTATAGTCAATGCCATTGCAGATCAGGTCAATAGTTTCATTCCTACAAAAATAATTACTGTGCGTCCTAATGATAAACCATGGATGGATAACACTATTAGATTAAAAATGAGGCAACGTAATAGAATTCACAGAAAAGCTAAATTAGGAAATACTCCTCATTATTGGGAAAGATTTCGAACTATACGGAATGAGACTATTGACCTCATTCGTGAGGCAAAGGCAAACTACGTAAACAAATTAGAACATTCACTTCATGATAATATTACTCCAGATAAATGATGGAAGATTGCTTAATCTATTACTAATTTCTATAATAAATCTTCCGCAATTCCCCCTCTTTACTCAAACAATCAGTTAATTCATCACCCCACAGACAAAGATGAACTTCTTAATAATCACTTTACTGATATTTCTACATCATCACCTAACCTTGAGTTACCTCAGGCAGCACATCCCAATACCCCCTACTCACTTACAAATATTCATGTCACTGAACTAGATGTTTCTGACCAAATAAATATTCTTAATACTAATAAACCTTCTGGCCCTGATAGTGTTATTCCTAAAGTTGTTTAAAACCTTCAAAATGTATCGAAATGTGATAATCAGAACTGTCAGAGATAGTTTTCTAAACGGTTGTGATTATAAGTATATCTATACGTTGAACACTTGCATGTTTAACAAAAATGCCCGTTTTACGCAACATAACAGACATTTGAAAATGAAATGAAATTCATAATCAGTTATATGTCATGCAGTTTTTAATTGGTCGTACTTGCTGTGCTAACAGCATACAGGCTTCCTTTGTTACCACTTTTTGTTTGAGTTTTATTATATCTTGTCATACCTTTATGACTGTCATATTTACTCTCGTTACATATATATTTATCAAAGGAGTGTCAACATCTCTAACTGGTAACTTAATACGAAATCATCAAAGAAAATAGCGATAACAAAACGATGTTGTATGACCGTTTCAGATAACCATCTCATCTATAAAAAGCCAAGAAATAATATACACTTTCGTTTCATATGCGTTTATCAAAGCAGTCGACCGTTTGATGGATCGTTAGTCTATGTAGCACGCATTCATAAAAAAAACTAAATATGATATAGCAAACATATTGATCGGATAGTTGCGTGCTTCATGATCGGATCACACTAGCTCGGGTCGGATGATTGTTTTAAGGAAGTCGTTTTTTCTTAAATGTTGTCATACTCGGAGAAATTTTTTCGATTTTTTTACCTACTTTCCATAAGACCGTATGTCTATACAACTATCTACAAACATAACATCTAGAAATCGTGTTTGATATATACTGGAGTAAGAGCATATAATATGCTTACGTGATGAAGCACATACATTTTCTTGAAATGATTTCGGACGTTTACATTTGTTTCAAGCAAACCTACAAAAGTGTATGACCTGTATTGACACATAACCAGATATGAAATATTGATACATTACCAGATATGAAATAGTGATACATAACCGGTTATGAAATTACCCTTTTTATGTCCTTTAAAAGATCAGCCATTCATGTAAACTATGAAAAGATTAACTATGTCGCATTACGAGTCATATTGAAGTGATGCATGAAGTTTTCGAAGAAAGGTGAAACGATATCTTTCAACATACCAACATAATGAAATAAATTCCTCTATTGTACATTTTCCGTTTCTGGATAACCCCACATTCTCAACCTGGTGTCTACATGTTACAGTTGATTCAATATTCTAGGGCTTGTTCTCAGTATTACGATTTTCGTGCAAGATGTCAGTAACTGACATAATCACAGCATAGTGATTTGTTTGTGATATGAAGCTGGGCGTGTTTGTTACTTGTTACTCTACTAGATGTATCATTTATATGTGTGATGTGATCCCATTCAAGAACATGGAACCACTTACTATTCCTGCACACATTGTCTTTTCTCTGTGACATTTTGGCAGGAGAACCTATGTAAATATTCCTTTTATTCATACCTTGCCCCTATTTCATCCAACTTATACTTGAATTGTGATTCCGCTAACAAGTCGTTATTTTTTTTTTTTTTTTTTTTGTTTTTATGATGCTTTTGTTACCGAGTCTATTCAATCAACTGTGACGCACTCATTTAAACCGAATAGTCCCTAACAAAACCCTGCAATGTTCTCCAAAATTTCCCCAAAGTTGGGGTTTCCGGTAATGCTAATTTCCCATAGAGGTCGGCCAAAAGATTGTGTTACTCTTCGAGACCACTCACTGATACATTGATTTGTGTCTACGAAGTTGGTTCCCTTGGTCTTACATTTAATCCAAATTAATCGATGACGCACGTGCCTAATTAACTGAATTACTAAATTAAGAACGCCGATTGTCACAAAACAGATAACACGTTTTTAATAATTGTAACGAAATATATAGTTCGAACCATAACCAAAATACAAAATACTAAAATAATAAGTATACCACCGATATTAGTAATTATTGTGCATTTTGTGAGAACATTTTTTGTGAACAAATGACGTTTTGAATGTCTTCCATAATCAGCCCTTTCAACATTATCTATCATATAGATAGCTTTATCTCTTACCCTATCCCAGCCCAAAGATCGAAACTTTTGTGCAAAATGTTGAATTTCGGTTTGATGTGTATCACCCCAATGACTTGTTAAATGATGATGGACATGGGAGATTACCCCGTTACACTCTGAACCTTCATGTTCACGTGCGACTTTTCTAATATATAACTATGACATCCCCTAGCGCGCATACAAGTAATGTCGACAAGTCCTTGATTGATAATATCTGTCAATTATAATTTGGACGTTAGATACAATATATAATATGACCGATAGTCAATATGAAATAAACATAAAGATAAAGAGTGTCTGACCTGTGCATTCACCACTGTCTATGTTACAAATGCGACTTTTGCAGTTAACTTGACATGACTGACTACAATGAATGTTGTAGTAGCCATTATTGCATTCTAAAACGAAACAAACCAAAACATGCCAAAAAATAAGTGTATTTACGTTATATCGCACAATAAGAATAAACGTGTTTTGTCATTAGGTTAACGACAAATGTTTCATTCCGCTTTACGAATTAATCGCAAAATATAGCACATTCATGAATTAATCAATTGTAGCGTGTCAAAATCTCTATTACGTGAAAGAGGAAATGAAAAGTGTTTATGTCAAAAGAAATGTTAGAGGAGTAGATTTGATAAATTCTAGTAATATCTCTGAACAAATCATTCGCTAGTTACGATATCATTAACACTACAGTCATAAGGCATTTCAAGGTAAATTACGGAAGTTTATTCGGAATATATTTGGTGAAAATGTGTAAGTTTGAAATGAATAAAGTTTTCTTTTTAAATTAATCTTTCATTTCATAGTAAAACACGAGTGTTATACCAATTCTGCAGATGCCGTCATATATATTTTTGAAACATAAGAACTATGATCAAAATGAATAGAATGACAATATTATGTCTGTGCGTCATCGTTCAAAAGAGGTGTCTTATACCTTATGTCCCAATCCTCTGAATTTATGATGTGCAAAAACATTAACCTGAAATGTTTTGAAAACTTGTTTTGTGTCTATTATATTCTTTGATTCATTACCATTCTCGTAACGAGCAAACGTTGATTGGGAATAATTTGATGAAAAAACAATGATTTCAACTGTCTGTCCCTATGTAAAATAATCACTGCGGTTTTCATTAAATTATTCAATTTTTACATTCCACTGGCGAGACCTTAATAAATTATGCTTTAGTAGTAAACTATATCAAAAATTCTTTGAGAAAACATATCTTTTGTTTCGTGTTTAAGGAATACAAAGCATTGAACCGACCCCTACATAAGATAATTACGTGTCCTGAAGAAAAAGCAATAATCATTGAGCATATTCCTTGACGTAAGATAAATTCTTATAATGTTTGAATAGGTAACGGCATTTCAACTTTGGACTAAACATTGTATACTTATTAGAAATAATTGATTTGATAATGTATCCAAACAATATACAATTAACACCTAAGTAATTGTCATATTTCTCCTGATTGGCTGCAATTATCCAATTATCAGAACACAACAAGCAGTTCTGAAAAGGCAATAGAAGATAAAAAAAGATTTAAATGAATGATTTTAGCAGTGTAACACGATAACATAGACATAATTGACGTTTTCTATTTTCAAAATAAGAATAAACTTAAATTTCTCTTTTCTCATTTCTCACATTTGTAATAATTTTCCAAATAGATCAGGATATTCGATTCCGTATGAAAGTCTGACTCATTTGCTTGTAGACGGCAAAATATTAACAGTATTTACCTAAACAATAACCGGAAGTCTTGTTGCATGCATTATTGAGAGTATGATATCACCGACATCTGTTCTGATTACTTATCAAACGATTATTTAGGCATAAGGCACTTGAGAGAAATTAAAATAAGCCACATTTCTATTCGGCTATCTGATCATCATTGATGACAAGTTCATGCCAGGTAACATGGATATAATATCATGTACTTTAGATTGAAAAAATAGTTATAAGAAAATTCTTCTCGCAAATAATTTCAAACAATAATTTCTTATATGTGGTTATGAATTTCAATCCCAATAGACTGATTGTCTGATTCACAGTGTTATTATTAATATATTGCAATGTACAGAAAGATATGATACAGAATTTACAAATAAAAACGTCGATTAGCAGATTTTTTTCAACTAGAACATCATCGGGGGTAATATGGAGATTAGCAGCTTTCGACGGAAAGTTAAGGATGGGCAGGAAAGTACAATATTTCGATGGGGATTGTGAATATTTTGCGCTATATCATCATTTTATAAACCTTGGTGTTTTGTGTTCATTTTAATGAGAATTGGGGCTGGAAAGCAGCAATTCGAATCGCTGTTAGCTGACAGCAACACACAAGGGTTCTATTTCTTTTACTTTTGTTTTCTATCTTTCAGTTATTATCAAATCAAAAATGGCCGCCTCTTATCATTTTTTTCGATTAGTTCCAAACCCGAAAAGACACAACTCTTCGTAGGGACCTAAGGGAATCTATATATAAGAAATTGAAGGGAAGATTCGTCCCTTACTTCTAAAGAAATAACGAAAGCAAAAATTATTAACCGATTGACAGACGCAGATAGAACACTAATTTACGTCTGACAAATTTTATATGCGAATAATTGTCACTCGAATGCAATTATATATACAAGTAATATCCGATTAACACCATATTAGATATTTTCCTTTAAAATGTATTCATTCTCTAAGATGTCTTACCTATGCATTCACCACTGGTTCTGTTACACCCCATGTTATCACAGTTATTAGGACAGACCAAATCACAGCGAATGCCATAGTAACCAATATCACACTCTGAAAAAAAATCAAATTAAATCATTAATGACCATATCACTGTTCTTATTCGAGCAGATCTATTCCTAACTAGCAGATCTATACATAACTGCAGTAAATCTGTAATCATCTTTCAACAACAAGCAACAATTCAAAGCCATCAGAACTATTGCGCAAATTCACACATCTATCGATTTGCTACAGTGAAACAAGACAACGTTAATACTATTTTTTAAACGACCGTTGTATCTGAATTTCTCATCTTAATAAATCAGAGGTTTTATGTGTTTTTTTTTTATATCTAGTCAATACTTTCTTATAAATTTTGGATAAAGATTTGCCTATGTTGTCTACTGAAGGCAAGGGATACAAATGTTACTTATCAAAGAAATAACCAGACATATGGTAGTCACTCTGGACATCGACATGGTCACTGTCTTTAAAAAGTTTTTTGGCAGTTTTTCACCACCAAAACCGGATAATCACCACCAAGAAGAGAAGCAAATTGGATAACTAAATCTTTGATAAGATTTTTGTTTTTTGGGTTTTTTTTTTTTTTTCATTTTAGCAACTTGTTTTTCAAGCAACAATGGATTACAAATAGAAGGGTACATTTAATTAGTAAATAGTTCAAGCATTTATATGAAATGTTAACTATGCCGAACCATAGTTTTCGTATTCATGACGCCGAAAAGGTGTTAGTTTTTTTCCTTTTTGTAACCAGTCTTACGTTAAGATTTTTATATTAAACTCAAAAAGAAGTTCCCTTATTAAATGGAAGCAAACTTGCTTTCCTGTAATGTAATTTTCATGCTTCAAGAAACAAATGATTGTTTTATATTATTAGTTTTTTTTCAAGTAGTATTGGATCCCTAATGTCATTGCAGTTGATTATTGAAAACAATTGCTTTCGTATCAGCTTTTATCAATATGATGAACCATATCTGTCATATTTATATGACCGAAATACTTGGGGATCAAGGCTTGTATTTAAATGTACGTTTTAGGTATTTTTCTGCTTTACCTGATTTTTAACATCAATATTTGTCGTCCTTACTCAATATTTGATATGCCGAACATCACTCCTTATTCCTATTGTTGTGCTTCGTTGTTGTATATAGTGCATTTTATTTCATTGTGTTAATTGCTGCTTAACACAGACGGGTCGTGAAGGCGGTTGAGATGTTATTCTCATTAACTTTTAATATAAACTATCAATGTCATACTCTTTTAAATGCTATACTTTTTGTTATAATCTTCCCTACATGTCGTTGCTTTAAAGACAGCTTTTAACTGAACATGTTCGAATTTAATGAGGTAATTTCCCTGAAATATCATGTCGCAGGAAAATGAAACCTGTCGTACTGACAAGAGAATGGGAATGATATGTTTCATTGTCTAGACCACTTAGACATTACAATATAAAGGCTATCGACCAAGATTTGTTTTAATTTTTCAATTTAATAATACATCTTATAACTACCATATCAATGCTGTTAGGAAAATGTTTCAAATTTACATTTACAGGTTTACAACTAAAACAACAATTTATTCATCGCGAGGTTAGTTGGAATTAAAAAAGACATATACATTGATTCTTTGCAAATATCACTTAGATACGTGTATATTAATTCGTTTATCATATAATATTCGGTATGCTGAAAGCATATTTAAATGCATGACTGTTACATAGGTGTGTAGTACGTAAATCATGTTTCGGGTTGCGGGTATTCAATGCAAATTATATGATATGTACATTAATTCAAGGACACTTTATCAAACCTCTGTTAAGACAGTTTAAGTGTCTTCAATAATGCCCAGACCAACAGTTGGGAAATCAATAAGAAACATTACGAGTATGGAATTGTTCTCGAGCAGCATGAACTCTAAATATTGATTTCGTAGGTTTAATTTACTTTGGTAACGTTGGAATGAAATGTAAGCCCAGTACATTTTCATATTCTCATTTAAGGTTATGTTGTAAGTTTGCAGTGGAAATATATATTTTATCACAAACAAATAAAAGTTATGTTACCGTTACAATAATCGCCAGGGCAGGTTTGATCTCTACAGTTGGCTGGACATCTACAGTGTGTGCCGAAGAATCCAGGTTTACACGCTGAAAATATGTACAACATACATTATGTTCTTCTGAATTGATGTTTATTGTACATTAAATATTATCAAGTACGTATACAAAATTTCATCATTGAGGAATAATGTTGTTAAAATAACATGTGCAAGGGTAACAGAGGTACGCATAACTAATGCTTGCCATTGTAGTGATGTTGCAGATATTGGTATACAAGGAAACATATATAAAAGTAAATACTATAAGGCTTTTATAGGACCACAATCTTGGCAATGATATCATGCTTTAAAATATCAGAATATCCGCAAATCCAAATGCATTCCTGTAATCTTATTTTTGACCGTAAGTCATCTTATCTCTTTGACAATTGTTTGTCTTTCATGCTGATTATTAATGTACCTTTCTTTCTATTTGTTTTGGCGATTGACTGTATAATTGAAATAAAATTGTCTCATTCAGTATAAAATACATGGACATGATATATATATGTGCATTTTGACGTAAGGAATAAAGATTAAACAAGAATAGGTGTCGCAACTGATTTAAGTTGAGAAAAAGACATGGTAATAGGTACTGTCCTATTGTCAAAGTAGTATGGTGAAGCATCCCGATACACGCAGTTGCTAATGCGCAAAAATCCTAGCAACACCTCAACAGAAAAACCGTGAGGGAAATGGGTCAGCGTTTCAATTTGTATAGTGAATTAAAAAAAACATAGTTTTTAAAAACAAACTCTACAATTCTATATTGTGTTCTATTAGTTGTCCAATTACTATAGTAATTATAGACGTACTATAAATTAACAATATTCAATGTAAATGCACGGTGTTCAATACTGAAGGAATAAATATTGTCTTACCTGTGCACTGACCATTGCTTCTGGCACACACATTAGTTAAACAGTTACTCGGACAAGTCAGATTACAACGATCTCCATAGAAACTATCAAAGCATTCTAAAAGGAGGAAATCAAAAACTGTTTTCAATTAAAAAAGATTGACATAATAGCTTTAATTCTAACAGGTTTATTCGTAAGCGGTCTGCTTTGTACATCTATAATGTTAGCAAACTTGTAACATTCTTCCAAAAGTAAACAACAGACCAAAGCCGACAAAGTTACTTGCTGATTCCAATCATTGTAGGACAACAATCAGTTACCAAGTAAGCATAGTTATAGAAGATCATTAAGCGTGACCTCTGCAGGTCATATATCGAATTGCATGGTCGCTGTTACCAACATGTAATACGCACACACTGACGCAGAGATCGCATTAAATACCTTATTTTATGGTGATAAACATAAAAGGCACTTATAAAGGTATGTCACATTCAGATGACAAGATACACCCAAACAACATCCCATTAAAAACTCTTTGATACACCTTTCCCCTTTGAAAGTCATATTCACTCTCATTTAATAAATCATTGCCTAACCTGTGCACTGACCATTGCTTCTGACACACACATTACTTATACAGTTTCTCGGACAAGTCAGATTACAACGATATCCATAGTAACTATCAACGCATTCTAACCAAAAAAATGTTGGGTTTGTTTTTTAAAATTCAAAACATTTAACATAATTGCTCTTATTACAACAGGTTCATTCCGAAGCTGGTCTCTCTACTTCGACATATATAACTTCAACTCACCTGTACTATTTTACATTCTATATACGAGCCTTATGTAATGTGGCACGCAGCGGAATCTATATCAGACATTGGCTTCGATGAGAACAATGCTTGTAGACCAGATAATAATATCACTTTTACCCATATATTGTTTGGTGAAATCTCAGCGTTCCAGGATAGCGCCTTATTGAAACTCCTTTTAATGAAGGCAGCGCGTTATGTTGTCAGCGCCGCGCGCTCTCTTTCAAATGTCCGGTTGTAGTACTGAAACCCAATGAATGTACAGAGACACTTCGCATGCGCGATATAAAACATTTGTTAGACCGTGATTTGCGCTGTCTGAACTTTGAGATTTCATGGTTTTTTTTTTTTTTTTATTTTTTAATATAACATCTACTTAGAGAAGAAATAAAAAAAACTTTGATGATGATGATGTAGTACGGACACACTGACAGACGCATACCAGCAGAGACAAGAAAAACGTTTCCTTTGGCTGCGAGACTTTTACTCTATTGATAACAAATTCCAAGATTTCTTGCAGACGATATCTTTAGATTAAGACTATTTGATGCTGACATGTTACAAAAAAAAAAAAAATGGCGTGTCGTAAGTAAATGGCGCCATCTCACTCCAGCATACTATAAGTAGAATGATTGAGATTCATACACTAAAGATCAATCAGGTATCGGTAACTTAAGACCATTTAGAATGTCATGCCTCTGGACAGAATCAATCAATTGGAAAGTAAAGGATTTAACCGTGTACAGGGATTTATTAAACAAACGACAGATGAAGGTAGTAAGAACGCCTGAATATTGTTCCGTGTATCTTCGTGCCAATGATAAAGCAGACACACGTCTTAAGTTATTAATTCTTAATTTATTTTTTTTCACTATTATAATTGATTAATACACTTAACGAAAATAAATAATTATGTTAAGAAAACAATTCAATTTGACACCTTCTGTGATATAACGAAAGTTGTAGCATCAACTTACACAGGGTCTTTATGGAAAAGACAATAGGCACACATTATCTGTACTGATTACGCTTTAACAGGCGTATCGTTAAAGAGACAATACAAAAACGAACAAATAAGTAGCAAATTTCAATGCATGTAATGCTATATACACAGCATTTCCATATATTTAGAGGAACTGAACCATACATATGTTAGACATTACCAGTACAATAGCCGGTGGGTAGAGGACAGCTAGCATCTTTACAGTTGAGTGGACATCTACAGTATGTGCCGGAAAATCCAGGTGAACATTCTTAAAAGAAAGTGCAACATACTTTTAGTTTGATGAATTTTTGAAACTATGGTATTAAGGAGAATATCTTCTGCTGGGCAACGAGCGGGATAAGACAGGTGTTATTAAGGACTGTTCCAGTTGATTAAAAATGAGAAATGGTCATAACCTTCATCCAGTTAATGTTATTTTTTAGTTGTTTTGGGCAGCATGAAAAATGCGGGTGGGAATTATGGGTACTGTATTTCCTAGATTAAACAGATAAACAGAAGTACGATATGAACCCAGTTACGTCATTATTTATAGAAAGGTTCAGGGAAGCTTAATCTTCATTAGATTATGCAGTTTACATATATCATACGTAAGCATATTCTAATCCCGGAGAAATTCAACATAGTGTTTAATTCGGACAGAGTGACAAACTTGATTTTATTTCAAAGACTCGATGTAAAGAAAAAAACTGTGATTAAGATTAAACAATTAAAATTATCACAAGTGATTTTGTTTTTCTTATCGGGACTGATGTGCAGATATGTCAACGCGTTGGCGAAAACAATATTGGTCAATACGTACTGTATGTGACCTTCTGCATATAACATAACCAAGGCCCATGGAGACATTATCTCACATATAGCATTGTTTACCTAAAATTAACTAAAGAAACTAGAGAAAAAGAATTCCAAAGGTGTACATCTACATCCTCATTTCGCTCTATCCTTCTGCCTCCAGGGAGGCAGCAAGAACATTCGGACAACAATCTCCTTCACACACGAATCGTAGGTCCTCGCCCCTCCTGCCATAGAGGGTCGAAACCTACTATTCTTGTCAAATCTATTTTCCATGAACCAATGAAGCTTTGAACCAAATTGTGACATTAGCCATGCATTCCGTCTTATCATGCAACATTAATTCCCAATCACCTTAGGACTCACAGGACCAAATTGGCAAAGATTTCTTACACGTTCTGGCGCAATCACTGAAGGTCATTGGAAGAATCTATCTCACAAATTGAAATTGGTATACATTATTACACCATGACAACAATGAATCAAAATTAACACATAAACTCATGAAATCTACGGTACATTTCGCTCCTTTATGTGCAGACTATTAGTATAATAGTTGTGGTGTTTGGCAAATTAAAAGAAACGTCGGATCTATAGTCATGAATAGCAACATTGTTTTCGAGGAATATATCTATATGTGTTATCAATTTAACCTTGTCATTGCTTTGTTCAGTCATCACATCGATTTATTTACAGGAAATTCTGTTGTCGTCGGAGGGCTCAATTGTTCCCGCTATAGTTGGGGTAATACGACGTTTAATGTTTTTTCGCAAAATTTAAAATGACTACACTAGACGATCGCTACTGGAAATTATTGATTAACTACGCATCTTCACAATACATGGAATATTTTCTTTTTGTTTTCTACTTGATTCTTTTAAACGACAAAACGACGTAGACTACGATTATACCGTCGACAATGGTGAGTTAAAGTACGATACGGAATGTGATTTAGAAACAGAATGAGATTCATATACACAATGTCATGTGGTTCTTAGAAACGTAGGGACTTCATTACATTAAGAAAGCCTATTCGAATATTTTCATTTCTACTTATCTTCTTATATCACTATATAAATTATTTGATTACACAATTATTACAAAATGTTATCTAGTACTAACGAGATAGATCAGGTTATAATAAGATAATCTATCACATTATAATGAGAAAAAAATATTTATTAATAATTAGATGAAGACAAATTCAAGATGACAAATATATGCCTCGTAAACAAAGGTTTACATATTATACTCTTCAAAACTGAAATGATTCTATGACGAATCTAACTTTTTAAACTCCCGTAAGCCTAAAAAAAGAGGTCAAAGTCATTTGTATGAAAACATCTCACACCAATCAACCCAAGAGTACCGTTGGTCTTACGTAATTCGAAAACGTGAGACACATTTGGCTCCTGTTACAGGTAACTTTATAACATACCATCCGATAAACTGTCTGATCAAACATGTTTTCTCCAACTTGAAAGGAAGATCTTTCATTTTTCAAACATATTTGATACATGTGACTTTGAAAATAGGTCAAGGCCATTTATTTCAGGAAACTTTACAGCGCTCCACCCTAGATACTTGCTGACATAATATCTTGACTGTGGCTCTGAAGGAACGTAAAAAAATTTCAATCATATTCGGCTAGGCTACTACCTTGAAAATATATCAGAACAAATGTTAGTATTCTGGGTTTTCCAAAACAAGACGTTTTAAAGACATTTAACTCCTGTAACTTAAAAAATATGTCAAGGAAAGTTATCGCACTCTATTCACATACCATACTCATCTCTAAATATAAGGCTTCTTTGTCCTGTTGAACTTGAAAATTTGAATAGGTAAGATGTGTTTGACCCCTGTGACCTTCAAAATAGGTCAAGGTCAGGCATATGAGAGAACAATGGAGTACTATATTATGATCTATCGAGATCTACCATGTTTATAGATCTTTACACTTTGAGTCTAAGTTTTTTGTTTGTCTAGAAGTGTGTCGTTGGTAGATTTATTTGAAATTATTATATTAAAGATTATTGGCCTTTGTTTATTTGCGCAAACCAATATGTTTACAGATGACAAGGTTGTGGAATTACACTGTGTTCTTTAAAACCTCTATACCAAGTTATTGCCTTTCATGACTTATACAGTCAAGGACTTTTTTGCTTTTTCACAAATTGAGAAGGTTGATTAAGCATCATTCCAGTAAGCTAGATATCCAGGGTTCGAATCCAAGTGGTGACATTAAAATTAATAATGATCTCTGTTACATGTACTTTATAAAGAACCTATCTTGTCGATTATTTGGTTTTCTTGTTCGAAGTATTTTGATCTCCGCAATCAATAAGTGTCTTTAGAATTACTGTCGTACTGATCTTTATATCTGTATAAGTACATATGTCTTATCCATAAAACTTACATCACTCATATCGTTATATAAGATAATATATTGATAAATTTGTTAGAAGTAAGATATGATAATGATGGAATGTCCATTCTCTCCCCAGCTCATTAATATCTATAGTGTATTAAAGTAATACACTGCTTTCAGTGGCGCTCTTCATTGAATTTACCCTTATACTGTTGGCAATCCTATGTCTATGAATGCCAGATAAAACCAGTTCAATGTGTCTATATATAAATTTGAATTTTGATATGATACGGTTACATGGTAGGAATGTCTACCCACGGTAAATATTTTGGAATGAATATAACGGAACTCATTAGGATAAATAAGTCAACAACATAAGATACATTATACAAATATTGGCAACAGTTAAGTTCAGCATTATGATATTATTATGTACTTACCGTAAACGTTCACTTCACACAGGTCCAAAACGGCATCATCCGAATACCACGACTTCGACTTCATCCGACGATCGTTGTAGATGGTTACATAGCGAGCGACTCCTGAACATGAAACGTTTTGTGTCGCTGACATGGACTGCAGATTATCAGTATAATCCTTATAACACCGGACTCCTTTTCTCCAGTCAGATGTGTAAGACAGGTATATCTCAAACCCAGCAAGTCTGTAAAGTGTGCCCTCATCTATAATAAACGGTTATTATTTCTATAATTCATGTGTCCTAATAAAATAATGCCCAGACAAGTTGATATTTATCATGACGTACATGTTCAACAGTATTTGAATGTGTTTTATTTTCGGATACCAGGATAAAATTATTTTATTCATTATCAAGATTGGGAAACAGCCAGTTTCAATTTGTGAGATAGATTCTTCCAATGACCTTCAGTGATGTGAGCATGGTGTCCGGATTACGAGGTTTATATACAAAATAATGTATATAATTCGCTGTGAAATGTCCATACCAATTCAAGGAGATGATCTCTCTCCTTTTTGAAAATATTTTCTTATAGAAATGCTTCTGATCATATCGGCATGTGAAATAAATGCTAAGTATCAAAAAGTATTCGCAGTGGATAATAACATATAATGGACATAAGTAATGACAACAAAATCAAATATTTTTCATCAAATACAATTTTTTTTTTTTTTTTTTTTTGAAAATGTGCGAGTTGCCGGAAAATGTGTTTAGTCTAACAAAGCAAAAAAAAAAAAAAAAAAAAGATGATGTGTCAAAAGATATTTTCTCTTTAGTAACCAACAACCACATCAATGCGAAATAAACGAACTGTGGATTAAGAAGGGTGTTTTGTTAACAAACATATCAAGTCATACTGATGTAATTCACAGTATCTAAAAAACAGAGTCACATATTTATGTGTAAAGAAAATGTAAACCGTCCCATGTTTAAAACCTGTTTAATGGACACAAAAAGTTGTAGTCATAGATAAGGATCTATTGCAAATTATTATATGAAATTTGTGCAATGATATTTTACATCGTCTTTTATCCAACGAAATATCAGTTGTAATATTTACAAAATCAGTTTTAAATATTTTGCCCAGAGAAAAATGGAAACTGTCTTCAGAATAAACGCAAGAGTGATGCCAGTTTTTAAGAAGTCATCTATCTAAATAAGCCGCTCACATGGCGTTGATAAAATTATGCAGGAGTGCTTGGTGAATGTCCTGCCATATATCTGATGTAATGCGTCGAACGTCGCATGAGCGTTTGGCTCCTGACGCCGACATCGCTTCATTTCATCCCACCCACACTCGATTATAGACAAATCTGATGACGGGAAAAGGTTACATGGTGACGTTCTGCTGTTGTAGATATGCCCCGAAAATGCGTACAGTATGCGTCCGTCATTGTCTGACTCAAATTAATGCTAAGCTAGCTGAGACGGAAAAATAAAATACCGTGTTAACATATAATGTTGCCAAGGTAGCGTACACTGGTCAGGTTGCCTTCCACTACAAAGTATAATAAAATGGATCCTTCTTTGCATTGTAATGCTTCCTAGGGCCATAATGTTCCCGGCCTCTCGCAATATGTTTCTTACGATTCTGAAACTGATCCGTCTATAGAAGAGAACGGGAACCAATTACACAAATACGACGTCCACATATCACACGTGGACGTCCTGTTCGTCAATGATCCTGTACCGTGTTTGTCTAATGAAAACTACTCCACAAAGCATTTCTAACATGCCAATAGCAAGTAAACTTTTCATTTCCGCTCATACTTGGCATTGTCCTGACCAAAATTCTTTTCGGCGAAACAATACTTTTCTGAACATTGCATAGAATAAACGTTAGAAATTTTCATTGTTCTCTTATAATCTCTTGCCTAAAATATTGGAAACCCGATAAAAAAAATAGCTGAGCATTGAAGCGTAACGAAAGCAAGGTTCCAACTGTTCAATTCAAACAATTTGAACAAGTTTTCAAAAATTTTAAATATATTTACAAAATGTTCTAAAAGAAAATTTATTCTGATTATTTTTTCTTAGATTTTCAAGTGCATGCCAGTTCTTTTTCTGTTTTCTTTTAATATATTTCCAATACTTTGTACAGCAAATATGATGACATTAATAGCAACCGATCTATAACACACGTGCGTACATAAAATTTAGATAAGTGGATTATCCTTCAGGCTTCAATTGATTCCGTCATAATCAACAAGACACATCACATAGGCACTTTCGAGTACTTTTCTTGAAAAGCTCTTAAAACAATTTTATTTCGAAATTAATACAGGCCAGAGTCGCTACCGTTTGACCAGAACGTCGCTGATTGGTAAATTCTTCTTTACAAAACCAACGAGCGTGTGCGAAATGACGTGTTGGAGAGAGTGCTCGCCATAGTTAATGTATTGAAAATAATTTTAAGACTGTTTCCACACACAAGCCCCAGTTTTCGTCGCGGACGTACTGTTGAAAATAAAGTACACGTCAAGCGTATGTTTAGATATATAATGCGGTTTACGTAATTGATACCTGTACCGTAGATAAATGAGTTTCCGAACGATTTTTTTTAATACACAGCTGCCGTAGCATGTTGCATTCTCTCAACTGAATTTAGGCTACAACTAGATAATTTCCGAAACCTCTTCTTTTCACTTATATCATTTCATCTCAATCCCTCTCATTTTATTTCTTCAATTTTCAGGATCATACACGCCCACATGCACTTATTTCTTCTTACTGTCTGATGCCGTATCGGATGTGCGACAGAAATGCAGACAACATTTTGCAGGTGTAAAAAATTGTTTCTGGGTTTTATTCAAATATGAACGTGCTCATATTGTATAATGTATACAGAGTACGTAAATCTGTTCAAATTAATAAAATTACATTTATATCAAAATTGTGTACACAAACAACCGAGTGTCATTATCTTTATGTAAATAAGTAAATGGTAAGTTATTTGCCTACGTGCGTGATATACTATGATAGACCATGTTATATATGTTACTTACCATCAAAACTGCATGATATAATGCAATGGCGAAAGTTCATTGGGAATACACTTTTCACAGAAGAAAATGGATCTCTAATGTATTTAATAAATATTACCAAAATAATGTTTGATCGGTTATTCTATTGTCAACAAGCAATCATAAGCATTTGGCCATATTGATACAAACTGAAACTTACTTCTGTATATTATATAGACGGATTCTATGACAGACTGTTGTTGTAGATCTACCTGCCACCAGACCTCGGTCACGCCGATCTCAGTGTGTGTACAGCAATCGGAAGCTATAGTTTGCGTGGAACATCCATCTACGGCTTTAGAGCTGTCCCACCTTGCGTTGAAATCAGAACTTTGACTTGTGGGTTTACCCAGTGCAAGGTTTACTGAAAAAAGTAGTTTAATTAAATAAAAAAAGAACGGTTTATTAGATTTAATGACAAATTTTTTGTCTAAAAGTTCCTTGTGTATAACATTTTGTATGTAAAAGTTATTATTGGTGTGTATGTTTTCTACAAAGGAATAAGTGCTGAACACTTCAAATTACATCGAATACAGTTACAAACCTACATGTACATAAAGAACATTACAGTTTATCAGCACAGTACACAAACAGTACAAAACCCGTGATTCCTTTTGAACCTGAAAGTATTAATTTGTATTCTTCAGCCTCGGGTGGCGAATTCCGCTTCACAATGAACTCATATTCGTATGTCGATATCACAATAAAACAAGATATGTTCATATTATATTTTATTGTATCCCACAGTCCCATAACCAGAAAAGTAATACTTTATAGAGTAAAGAATTCATAATATTTACAAAGTAATGATGTCCTGACAGACTAAACAAAATTGGCTACTCAATTGTCAAGATTATGATTGTGGCTATTTTGGAACAACATGTGTATTTCACTCAAGGTATTGGGTTTAATAGCTTAAGATCAGTTATGGAATTACAAAGATACAAACATGTTTATTTTCACTAGAACAATAGTACATTAATGATTAATGACACATTGCAGTACATCTGTATCGTCCGTACGGGATATATTCTTTGGTCCATCATTTAATGATATATTGGGTACATTATATGTACATGTAATGATCAGGGCATATACAAGTTCAACCTGTGACTTATGTTTCATCTGTCTTGCTATTGATATATGTTGGCAATGACATAACGTTTTATGACATCGATAAAGAATTGTTAAATCTTATTCAAATCATATCTTCCTCGTCCTAATTGTTCCTTCGTAGTTTAGTTTAAAACGAAAGAATATCATAACTGGGTAAAAAAAAACCTTGAAAACATTTATGCCTTTGGAATTTTTGCTTCATTTAAAATCGGGCTTATCTCATGCCTACACCTAGTATTTTGATTCAGTTGTTCTTTGGCATGTTAACATCATGTCCGGTTTTTAAACCAACAAGGACGTGAGATACACGCGTGATCTTTAAAGTATTTATGAATCATCGACTGACTGTGAAACTGTTCTTCCGTCATTATTCCTTTCTGTTCTGTCTTATTTTAACTTATATATATATACAATGTAACTAAAAGTAAAGCGGCGTTAAAAATAACTGATGAAATATATGCTGGAACACATAGATGTATATATGTGAATGATTTTATTGTTATAAACTATTAATGAAAACACCTTAACTATGTTGTATGGTGCTATGATGAAATGAAGGGTTTCAATGAAGTTACACACATTATAGGGATGGTGATATGATAATGGTGTGTGTATGGGTTTGTGTGAGGCTGTGTTGAGGTGGATGTGGACAGGAGTGGGGGTGAGGGTGTGGGGGATGTGGAAGAAAGAGGGGGTGAGGGTGTGGGGGATGTGGAAGGAAGAGGGGGTGATGGTGAGGGTGCGGGAGATGTGGAAGGAAATGGGGTGAGGGCGTAGGGGATGTGGAAGGAAGTGGGGGAGATGGTGTGGGGGATGTGGAAGGAAGTGGGGGTGAGGGTGTGGGGGATGTGGCATGAAGTGGGGTGAAGGTGTGGGGGATGAGGAAGGAAGTGGGGGTGAGGGTGTCGGGGATGTGGAAGGAAGTGGGGGTGAGGGTGTCGGGGATGTGGAAGGAAGTGGGGGTGAGGATGTGGGGGATGTGGAAGGAAGTGGGGTTGATGGTGTGGGGGATGTGGAAGGAAGTTGGGGTGAGGGTGTGGGGGATGTAGCATGAAGTGAGGTGAAGGTGTGGGGATAAGGCAGGAAGTTAGGGGTTAGGGTGTTAAGGATGTGGAAGGAAGTGGGGTAAGGTTGTGGGGGTTGTGGAAGGAAGAGGGGAAGAGGGTGTGGAGGATGTGGAAGTAAGTGGGAGTGAGGGTGTGGGGGATGTGGAAGGAAGAGGGGGTGAGAGTGTAGGGGATGTGGAAGGAAGTAGGAGAGAGGGTGTGGGGATGTTGAAGGAAGTGAGAGAGAGGGTGTGGGGGATGTGGTAGGAAGTGGGGGTGAGGGTGTCGGTGATGTGGAAGGAAGTGGGAATGAAGGTGGGGGTGTGGGGGGGATGTGGAAGGAAGTGGGGGTGCGGGGGATGTGGAAGGAAATGGGGTTGAGGGGAAGGGGGATGTGGAAGGAAGTGGAGTTGAGGGTGTGGGGGATGAGGAAAGAAGTGGGGGTGATGGTGTGGGGGATGTGGAAGGAAGTGGGGGTAATGGTGTGGGGGATGTGGAAGGAAGTAGGGGTGAGGGTGTGGGGGATGTGGCAGGAAGTGGGGTGAAAGTGTGGGGGATGTGGAAGGAAGTGGGGGTGAGGGGGATGTGGACGGAACTGGGGGCTGAGGGTGTGGGTGATGTGGAAGGAAATGGGGTGAGGGCGTAGGGGATGTGGAAGGAAGTGGGGGTGATGGTGTGGGGGATGTGGAAGGAAGTGGGGGTAATGGTGTGGGGGATGTGGAAGGAAGTGGGGGTGATGGTGCGGGGGATGTGGAATGAAGTGGGAATGTGGGTGAGGGTGTGGGGGGATGTGGAAGGAAGTGGGGTTGGGGGGATGTGGAAGGAAGTGGGGGTGAGGGTGTGGGGGATGTGGTAGAATGTGGGGGTGAGGGTGTGGGGGATGTGGAAGGAAGTGGGAATGAGGGTGAGGGTGTGTGGGATGTGGAAGGAAGTGGAGGTGCGGGGGATTGGAAGGAAGGGAGTGAGGGTGTGGGGGATGTGGAAGGAAGTGAGAGAGAGGGTGTGGGGGATGTGGAAGGAAGTGGGGGTGAGGGTGTGGGGGATGTGGAAGGAAGTGGGAATGAGGGTGAGGGTGTGGGGGATGTGGAAGGAAGTGGGGATGAGGGGAAGGGGGATGTGGAAGGAAGTGGAGTTGAGAGAGGGTGTGGGTGAGGGTGTGGGGGATGAGGAAGGAAGTGGGGGTGATGTTGTGGGGGATGTGGAAGGAAGTGGGGGTGCGGGGTATGTGGAAAGAAGTGGGGTTGAGGGTGTGGGGGATGTGGAAGGAAGTGGAAGGAAGTGAGAGAGAGGGTGTGGGGGATGTGGAAGGAAGTGGGGGTGAGTGTGTGGGGGATGTGGAAAGAAGTGGGAATGTGGGTGAGGGTGTGGGGGGATGTGGAAGGAAGTGGGGTTGCGGGGGATGTGGAAGGAAGTGGGGGTGAGAGTGTGGAGGATGTGGAAGGAAGTAGGAGTGAGGGTGTGGGGGATGTGGAAGGAAGTGAGAGTTGAGGATGTGGGTGATGTAGAAGGAGGTGGGGGTGAGGGTGTGGGGGATGTGGAAGGAAGTGGGAATGAGGGTGAGGGTGTGGGGGATGTGGAAGGAAGTGGGGTTGAGGGGAAGGGGGATGTGGAAGGAGGTGGAGTTGAGGATGTGGGGGATGAGGAAAGAAGTGGTGGAGATGGTGTGGGGGAGGTGGAAGGAAGTGGGGGTAATGGTGTGGGGGATGTGGAAGAAAGTAGGGGTGAGGTTGTGGGAGATGTGGAAGGAAGTGGGAATGAGGGTGAGGGTGTTGGGGATGTGGAAGGAAGTGGTGTTGAGGGGGGGGGGAGGGTGGGATGAGGAAGGAAGTGGGGGTAGGGGTGTGAGGGATGTGGAAGGAATGGGGTTGAGGGGGTATGGGATGAGGAAGGAAGTGGGAGTGAGGGTGTGGGGGATGTGGAAGGAAGTGGGAGTGAGTGTGAGGGTGTGGGGGATGTAGAGGGAAGTGAGGGTGCAGGGGATTAATGTGTGGAAGGAAGTGGGGTGAAGATGTGGGGGATGTGGCAGGAATTGGGGGTGATGGTGTGGGTGATATGGAAGGAAGTGGAGTTGAGGGGGTGTATGTGGGATGTTGGGAGGGTGTGTATGGCATGTTGGGTGTGGAGTGAGGGTATGTATGGGATGTTGGGAGGGGGTGAGTGTGTGTGTGGGATGTTGGGAGGGTGTGTTGATGTTGGGAGGGTGTGTTGGGGTGAGGGTGTGTGTGGGATGTTGGGAGGGTGTGTGGAGGTGAGGGTGTGTTTGCGTGAATATGATCAACACGTTTTCTGTAATTAACATTACGGCTGTTCCTGTCATGCTTAACTCAACTATTTCAGATTGTCACTGTACAACACAAAACAAATCATCGAAGCGTCACATCAAACAAGCAGACCGTGTGTAAAAACACACTGAATTCTGTAACAATGTTTACTCACATTATTGTATCCTAATATTCATGAAAATATTATTACATGTGTATCTGATAAAATTAAAAAAACCCAGTGACATAGAAAGTAAATCACAAGAATGGTTACGTCGCACACATAATGACTAGTTATTGTAGTATTTCTAATGTAAAAATGCTGATTGTTTTGTGGTCGTATACACATATATAGTCTATGTTCACTAACCTGATGTCTCCACCACGAGCGGGGTGGATATTGACCAGATCAACACCAACAACTGGCTAAACTTCATGTCGTTTTTAGCATAAAACGCCCCGTCCGTGATACATTTTACCAACCAGGAAGTTCATATAGGGTTATTGCCATGCTCATACCGGAATTCACTGCTGTTTACACACATATATGTAGGATAGACGCTGTCTCCATTAAAAAAATTCTGTATACACAATCTGCTGTGACAGTCTTAACCCAGCTTTAGGTTAACAATTCATCCACCTTACTGAACACCTACCAAAACAGTGAAGTTAACAATACTTCTACAATACTGAACACCTACCAAAATAGTGAAGTTATCAATACTTCTACAATACTGAACACCTACCACAACAGTGAAGTTAACAATACTTCTACAATGCTTAACACCTACCACGACACTGAAGTTAACAATACTTCTACAATGCTGAACACCTACTTCAACAGTGAAGTTAACAATACTTCTACATTACTGGAGACCTACCACAACAGTGAAGTTAACAATACTTCTACAATACTGAACATATACCACTACAGTGAATTTAACAATACTTCTACAATACTGAACACCTACCACAACAGTAAAGTTAACAATACTTCTACAATACTGAACACCTACCACAACAGTGAAGTTAACAAAACTTCTACGATACTGAACACCTACCACAACAGTAAAGTTAACAATACTTCTACAGTACTAAACACCTACCTCAACAGTAAAGTTAACAATACTTCTACAATACTAAACACCTACCACAACAGTGAAGTTAACAATACTTCTACAATACTGAACACCTACCACAACAGTAAAGTTAGCAATACTTCTACAATACTGAACTTCTATCACTACAGTAAGTTAACAATACTTCTACAATACTGAACTTCTACCACTACAGTGAAGTTAACAATTCGTTCTTTTTGTTGAATTCGTAGGTTGAAATATATTAAACTTAAAATGTGCACGCGTCAATGAACTCCTCATTTCATCAGAAACGATATAAATTCTGTAAATGAATATGTAACTCACTTCATTTTAATACGCACTATATGCATTACTAGAGATATATCGTAAAGTGTTGACCGTACTCAAGTTTGACCTAAATTCCCTTGCTACATTAAAACATCTTATATCCAAAACTGACAAATTGATTCTGACATGATTTCGATATAAAATCGACGAATATTTGCTAATACCTTTCTTTGCCATACTTGTACAACTGAGTACGTACATTGTACCTCTCCATTTAAATGATGTGTTTTTCATAAGTGTAGGTCCTGTCTACAATGTAAATATACACATGTTCAGAGCGCCCAACATACATGTAAAACACATGATCCAATGTCGACAGGCAAACAAATGCATTGATCTCTATAAAAAAAATATCAAATGTATATGATTCATTTAAGTACAAATAGCTGTGACGCTTTCCGCATACATATTTCACGTGAAATGTCATTCTCACCTAAGAGTATAACAAAGTCGAAGATGCTGTTTTCAAGCCTTAACAACCTCGACACGTAAACAACTCCAGTTACTCTGCCGAGGTTTAACTTCAGTCTTTCTATTATTCATGCCTTAATGACATACTAGGTGTAACTAACCTCTTCGTCAGTGTCGATACAAGTGAGCGAACGGACACCATCTGGATGTAATCCAATACTACGCTCAATGGTCTCCTTACTTTTGAACATGATTCCACAATAACCATGTATGGTGTAGACGTCTGGTAAAATATATACCTGTAAACTTATTGAAATTAGTCGATGGAATATCATTTTTTCCAAGTTTATAGAGTAGTAAAAATGACTAGCATTGGTCGACACTGGCTGTTCGAAAAGTTTATCAACGAGAAGTTTGAGTGTTTGTATTTAAATTTCCCATTACTAGAGTTGGAATAGACAATATCGGGTTCGTTTTGTAGCCGAATCGTCAGCTGACAAGACAAAAAGCATCCTCAATATTCCAGGAGTTGCAATCTCTTTCGCTCTCTGTACCTCTGGAACATGTCAAGGCAAAATTAAAGGTTCCATGTGCGGCAACTTGTGGACAAGACTGGTTTGATCCTTAGATGTACATCAAACGAATCACGAAGCATAACGTATATTGTAATGGCTTTGAAGTTGAGTGTCGCTCATTTGTAATCTTTACAAGGAGCGTATCAGCCATCAACATAATCACTGTTGAATGTTTTTGTGTAAAAAAAAGTGACAAAGTTAAAGATCTTCGTTCAATAAAGTAAACAATTGATTCCTTCACAGTCATTTGCAGTATATTGTTTTATTCGAATGCGACATATAGATATGATATACGTGTATATACTCAACAAAAAAAGGAAGGTTAACATGTTTCCTTGGCGAATACCTGTAAATGAGTGAAAACAAAATGACGTTTGTGCAATATTACAAAATGGTAATGTTTTACATTACAAAATCCAAGGGGGTTACCAAAATCATTCAAGCGTGAAAGTCTGTATTAGCGAAAGAGCTGCACGAGGTTTTCTGCGACTAACTTGTATCTTCGTTTGAATTTCATAAACATTCAAACTGACAACTGTTCCTTAGATCCTTGCTATCTATCAACTTTATCATTATGCCCCGGCTGTCACAAGTACAGAGAGAAAGGGCTGCAGGCATGATCCAGGCTGGGGAGTCTCGCCGTCGAGTTGCACAGCATTTTGGTTGCAGTGTTAAGACAATTTGCCAGTTGGTAAGTCGTTTAAACCAAACTGGGTCAACATCCGATCGTCCCCGAAGAGGCCGACCCTGTAAAACGACAGTCAGGGATGACCGTCATATACGATTGATACACTTGCGCAATCGATTCGTTACCGCAGTAGAGACTACAAGGACATTGTTTGGGCGTCGTGTGTCTACCCAAACAGTCCGCAACAGGTTGAGGACCTACCAATTGAAAGCGCGGCGTCCCTACACTGGACCCACTTTGTTGCGACGTCTCCGTAATAACCGGCGTAACTGGACCAGTGTTCACCGTCGTTGGGCCTTACGACAATGGAACAATGTTCTATTTTCAGATGAGTCCAGGTTTTGTCTGCAACACGGTGACGGAAGGCGCAGAGTGTGGAGGCGACGAGGGGAGCGTTTTGCGAACTGCTGCGTCGCAGAACGGGACTGCTTTGGCGGCGGAAGTGTAATGGTTTGGGGTGGTAATTGTGAGGGGACTCGTACCAGGCTTGTTGTGTTAAATGCCAATTTAACCGGCATTCGATATCGGGACGAAATTTTAAAGACCAGTGGTTCTGCCATTCTTAAGACGCCATGGTGTTGGCGCCATTTTTCAACAGGATAACGCACCAGCGCATACCAGTCGCGTCAGCAGAACTTTCTTGGAGCAGAATAACGTACAGGTGTTAGATTGGCCATCTGAATCACCTGATTTGTCACCGATTGAGCATGTCTGGGACGTTCTTGGGCGACGCGTGAGAGAACGTCAAAATCAGCCGTCAAACTTGCAGGAGCTGGCCCAAGCCTTGATCGCTGAATGGCACAACATCTCTCCTCAAATTATCAGCCGGTTTACGATTTCCATGCGACGACGCTGCAATGCTGTTTACTTCGCAAACGGTGGCCATACCCGTTACTAATGGTGTTACCTTTGAAATTGACCCAACGTCCTTTCAGTCGAATAAAATCAACTGAACGCAAAGTTTTATAATGAACCATGACTGCAGTTTTATCAGAATTGGTCAATTACGTTATTCGTACATAATTGGTAAGGATTTATGAAGGGGTTAATTAATAAATAATAAATAAAGTAGTGTTACCTTTCTTTTTTTTTGTTTAGTATGTTTCCATCATTGCACTAGACAAAACCGAATAAAGATACACTCATCAAGTCATATCTAACCAGTCACAATGTATACTTACAAGATAATGTCTTAAAACTGGGGTAAATATTTATCAATAAAGGTAAAGGTTAGTTTCAACAGTAAGACATCAGCGCAGACTTCTCGACTCTGCTTTCGAAAATAGGCTTTCTTTCATGCATCATATAAAAGTTATCTCCCTTGGTACGTGTAAAAATTTTGTATGATTCCCTCGTCGTGTTTTTTTTTTTTTTTTTTTCACAAAAAGATAAGAAATAATGAAATTGGTACATTACACAAGGCAGCATTTCAGCAACTTTTTGTCAGAAAAGATATCATTTATGATTTAATTGTGAAAATTATACGTCATCCGAGTTTCCCCTTTATTAAGATATGTAACTAGGTTACGTAATGTATAAGGGATTTAAACAATTATAAAATGTAAATATTTGAAATCTTCATACCCATAATATTACCTAAAAGACCAAGATTTACCGAAATAGAAGGTATTTTTCCATTACACTGTTGATCACATTTATAATTAACATATAGATCGAATCAGATCGTGACACATCATATCACTTTACACGGAGACTCATAAAAAAGTCCCCAGTAAAATACTAGAGAAATAGAAAGTTCACAATAAGAAAACTCAAATCATCACGCCTATTATGCAGCTCGACAGAAAGTTTTGTTGTAGGAAAAGACCTGTCGTGTCTTTTATTACCAGTTTTGCTGAGTATATTCGATGGGCAAGGTCAACAATAAATTTCTTGCTGTTCATAGACAGAACATGTTCAATACATCTGAAAGTGAGTTTATTGACTTGGCGGGTCTTTTTTATTTGTTTGGATAAGCTCTTTTAACGATAAACGTTTTATTGAAAAAGACAAAGACACAGCAATACAAACTCCACACACATCTTTCACACCACAACCTTAATCGGCAAATATACATATCCTACTTACATGAGCTAAAAGAATAATTAGCTCTAAAACGTCATCCATTTTAGATAAAGATTACAAGCATTTACCGAAAATGACTTGGTTGCGCAGAAACAATATATATGTTGTAAGGAAGACCACTCATTTTTCCCAAAAAATCAAAAATCAATTAGATACTTACAATAATTACAAGTTATCCATAGTTATCTTTACCAAACCTCTGTTTTTATGAGCTTTTGTTGTCAATGAAGCAGAAGATGCTTACCGTTTCG